AGAACCCAGGGTCAGAATCGGGGTCAGAGCCAAAGTTGGAGATGAGGAATCGAAGCTGAGGGTCAGAACCAGGTTACCTGGAGAGAGGCCAGGCAGGAGCAGGGCTGGTCCAAAGCCGGAGCTAACATAGCTGTGGGCAAAAGCTTTGAGCAGCTAGTGAACTGCTACTGCTGGGCTTAAGAGCCTGTCTGCTGACCCTTCCCACCAATCAGGCAGCTTGGTACAGGCCAGCTGCACTTGTTTAGGATACCTAGAGACTGGCTCTGCTGCAGGCCCTGATTCCCAACAGATGGTCCTTGTCTATGGTCCCATAAGGCAGGTTCTTGAAGGCAGTGACTCCTCAGGTCCTGGGGCTCTCCAGGCCTCCCATCCAGGTGTCCATAAGCTCAAGGTGAAGAGAGGCAAAGAAATACACTCAAGCTCCTCCTACGATAACTCGTGTGGGTCTTCCCAGGTCCCCTTTTCTTGTGGCCCCCTCCTAGAGGAACAACTCTGGTCCAATCAGCGTCACACACATGATTCCTCCAAATAGATCAACCTTCCACTGAGAAAAAACACTGCACACACATGTGGGTTTTGCCCATATAAAGTCAGTTTCTGCTCAGTGACTTCCCTTTTCTTAGATGTTTCCTCCTGGTTAGCTCTGTCCTGTCTGGATTGTGGTGAGCAGTGGGGTGTGATTCACCTGCCTTATTTCCTCCTCTGCCTACTTTAGAACAACACATTACCTCTGGCTAAAGGCATTTCTTTGCTCTCCTGGTTGCCACTGGCCAGCAGAGTCTATCATGGCATGTGTGCTGGGGCCCCATTATATTGTCCTGCCAACCAAGACTTCATTCTCCAAAGCTTCCTCATTGGAGTGCCTTCCTGAAGACAAGCGAAAACTCAGCTGTCCCTGCCTGAATGAGCGTCGGCAAAGCTGTTCTGAGCAGGCGCCCTTAAGGGTTAGATTCAGAGACACAAGTTACCAGTGTAGAACTACAGATATTCCCAGATCCCCAACGGTGCAAATCGGCATTGGTCCAAAGGCGTCTACACACCCATTTACACCAACTAAGGGTCTGGCCTTATATTATGAACAGCCACCTGCTCTGGGGTGGAGTCGTGCCCAAAACTAGCCCAGGGATTAGAAATGGGGCATTTATCGAGAATGAGGAAGCTTGTCAGAAATGACCCTATGTCTACACTAAGGAAACTGAGCTCAGACTCAGTGCGGAGGCTGCTGGAACCAGACTACCAAGCCAAGGTGGGAGGCAAAGCCCAGACACCAAGAGCTAGCGAGGCTCCCTGCTTACCCCTAGCTGAGTTACACATCCGCATACGCCACAGACTGCGACCTGTGACCTGAACTCTGCTCCCCTCCCGAGCTCAGTTCTTCCCCACCTCTAGTGGCTGTGGCTGTTTGGGGCAGTAGCTGGTGCTGTTGGCAGAGTCACTTGGCGAAGGGCTGAGCGCACACGGCTGAGGAAGGGCTGGTGTTCCTGGGGGGCAGCGCTAAGCTTGCAGTGTGTGGCGCAGTAGCGAGGGTGACAGTGCAGCCTGCCTGGAGTGGAGACGTTGAGGGCATGTGCTGGTAGTTGCTGAACTTTTTATTTCCTTTCTTTTGTGCGTTTCTTTTCCTAAGTGTTTTTCCTGTTTCACTGGAGGTTGCAGTGG